TCCTCATTTCTGACAGAAGTGATGCTAGTGCAGCATGCTAACCTCTTCAGGAGCCGCCCTTGTTGTTTAGAACCATTAGTCGCCTCTCTTAAGTTTATGTTTAAAGGTTTGGTAGCAGGGGCAGACTTTACAGCAAGGTGTGCAGCCTGGACCTGGGCGCCCCAACTAAAAGGACCCCAAACAACTGTAGATGTATTATGATGTCTAGATATGAAATCATTGTGAAATAACTTACAACTTACAAAAGGCCCCCAAAGCATTTCAATAATATGCAACTAATGTTATTATTAGTTTTATAACTAATAGTTTTAGTTCATAACTATATTGTGAGTTTATTAATATTGAACTTGTTTTATGTATTGAGTCTCTTTTACTTATTTCAATACAATGCGTTTACAGCTGGCCTCATCCTCTGGTTGTGAAAAGTGGAGCAATGTGGAAGTTCCTTTAACTTGTTTTTCTAATAAGGGGCGACTCCTCGGATTGCATCTGAAGTCCAATTAGAAAATGACAATCTACTTCTCACTTGATTTATTACCTCAGTAAAGATCGTCTTCAATACAGTATGAAGTTTATGTTGTAAATGATGGTCCCATTTACAGTCAAATAGACCATAAAGCAGGGTATGCTTTAGGGCGGGGCTACCTTGTGATTGACAGGTTGCTACCAAGATGTTGTCAAGTCTGGGGGTTTTCATTTGTGCCCTTTAACTCTTTCAGTGTTTTCCATTCATGAAAGTAAATTGTAAAAATGTTGTCTCATTAAATGTCTTGTTCAGCTCCAACCTCTCGTGTCACTTCTGGTTGCAAAAAAACAAGCTAGTGAAAGCCAAGAAGTCAAGGCTTCAAAACTGTAGACCACAAACCAATGGCTGAGTCAACAGGTCCCCTGCATACAGTCAATGATATGACAGTCGGGAGTTGTAGCTATGTAACATTATCAGTATCTTTTGACGATGTTAGGATGGAAATGCCCCTTTTTGAGCTCACCCTCTACCACATCTCTCAGGTTGGTGTGGCTATGTGATGCTCATTTATAGGAGCAGAGCACAAACAGGGCCTTGGACCTCATCTGTCCAACAATTCAATACACTCATTTTGCAGTTTGATGCTTGAGCAACAGCTTTTGAGCAAGTTTAGTGTCCCTGACCATCAATTAGCAGCAGACCTCATTGACACTCTTCAGAAAGCCCTGGCATCCAGTGCTTTCAGTAATTGGCATGACAGTTTATCATTATCCATGAAAACCGCTGGGTTTTGCGAACACACAGCTGTTTTGATGTTCCTCCACCACTCCAGTGTCACTTAGTTTTGTACAGCTGTTTGTTTCCAAGTGATCATTTTTTTCTTTCCCAAGGCCAAACGGTCATTTCACTTTAATGAGCTCACCGTTCTACTAAACACAAAGCAGCAGGTGTGGAGTGCAAGGTTCCAAAGGCTGACTGAGAGTTTCAACCAAGGCTACCAAAGATAATAGACATTGCTGCTATTTGCTTTTTAACGACTCTAAAAAAACATTATTATTATGATAAAATAAAAACATGTATTTTATGTTCGTATGTTTTTACATTTTGGGAATTTTTTCAAATTCAAAATCTTGTCATTTATTGTCAATGCTAATGCCATTATCTAAATATTTACATTTACTATACTATTTTACTACTTTGTCTATTTGCGTCTGTAGATTTAGCATTACATTATGCCTCAATTGCACAATTACAATTTTAGAAAACTTGTAATACAAAAAATGTATTGTCTTAATAAAAGTAATCGACAGGGGAAGTTTCATGGTGATATCTAGTGACATCTCTCACCCTTTCTCCTGGGGCGTCTCCTCTTAAGTTTAACTGATACAATTATGTACTTGACAGCCGCCCAGAAGCATGACTCAAGTGTCAACACTTGACGCCATGATTACCATTTGACAAAAACATTGTTAATCACAACTCAGAAGTTAGTGAAGAGCCGGTGCTGAAGCATTACAACATAAATGAAGCCTTTACCCCCTTCAGCAGAGGTAGATAATGGGATTCCACATCAATAAACACTGAAGACATTTTTTCACATTAAGTGCCAGCATCCTGTGTCAAAGTGCAATTTGACAGTAATATTTGCAGGATTTCTGTCCAACAGTGCTCCTATTTATTTTAATGTGACTTTTATTTGTTGTTGTGGATTTTATTTTGTATTTTCTTTATTTCTTTTAGAGCCAAATCATTTGATATCTGGTCTTGCAACCTTGTTTCATATAACATCTTCCAGCAGCTAGCCTTGCCTCCTATTTGTTGAATAATTCACGAGTTGCAATTCAATACAATTGGATTTGGGAGAGGGGGATTCAAAAGTTGAATTACAAAACATCACATTCTTTCATCTCATGAAGTTTTTTTTACAAAGTGCAGAGGTCAATTATGAGTCCTCTGGCAATAGCTGGTATGAATAAAACACCGAAGGGCTGCGGAACCTTGGGAGAGCTCCTCCACTTGTGTAGATTATTGACGCTTTTACTTTTTTATTTTCCTATCCTCAGGTAAAAAAAAAAGAAGGACCCTTTGTCTCTGGTCTCCTGTACCGTTCATGTCTCCATAGCCTCGAGGCAAAAGAGGACTAATTTGCACCGGTCTGTTTTGGGGCCAATTATTATAATACCAAATGGAAACACAATACAATTGAAAACAATAAAGAGAGGGCCCACCAATATCATGCATTTTAATAATCCTCTCATTAAAAATTCATTTTATATGTTCAGCAATTTGCAGAGTTTTGCCTCACTCTCCTTCGACTCTGCCACGTTACCTGCAGAACATGGACGTCGTGCAGAGAGCTGCTGGGAGGAGGTCATCACTACTTCTGCTTCACTTTAAGTCAGATACAGAAAATGCACATGTGGAAAATCACCTGAGAAAAACAGCAAGTGGGGAGGGATTGATTTTCACGAAAGCGATATGTAATTAATTGACAAATGAAATGAAATCACATACAATTTTAATTACCCAGTGACTTAAAATAGTCACCGCAGGATGACGAAAGGCAGATCATATTGCATTTTTACATGAGAGATTTTACTCATATGTGATGACATCCTGAATCTTCAAAAGTAGGGAAATATGAGCATTAAAATCTACTTGAAGTGTCTCTTTTTATGAGAAATGTGCCCCATGAAAATTATATATATTATGTAATTGCATTACAATTATAATGCATTCATGTGTTCATCACTTTAATGTTGCAGTAAATGAAGGTGGAGCTCAATTTAACTACTTTTATACTGTTGGCTTGCTTAATCTATAGTGAAACATCATAATTCATTTGTTCATTTTATATTGTTTTCATAATCAGAATTTGTAAAGTTGTGAAATAAATGTTGTGAAATAAGTGGTACAATATTTCCCACTGAATGGTAGCGGTTTAGTACAGTAAAGAGAGGTGTAGTGCTGCAGAACAGAGAAACTCTCAAGGACAGTACATATACCTCAGAATTGTATTCATGTATTTGCATAGTACCTATCATACTTTTTTAAAGGACAATCACTGTCATAGACCTTTAAAAATATGCACTTGACATGATATTTGCAGCTAACAGTCCTAACAGTGCCAACAACGGGCAACACATGCAGACAGAGGTAACAGTGTTTACCTTGGGGGGGGGGGGGGGGGGGGGGACATTGGTATACTGCCTGTATATTATGAAATAATATTACTGATAAAAATGGTAATCAAATAAGTATTTTGTGAAAGACAGGAATACTTACTGCATCTATGTCTGACTTCATTTAACTGTAATGTTTATCACTGCTGCATGTCATGCGTACAACTGGTTTGACACTAAACAACTTGGCACCACTGAGATACCGAGATGCTGACTCTCCAACCCCCCCAACCCCCCGACTTGCAGCAGGACTTGGCCTCTATCAGCACTAGATGTCAGTGTTCTCGCTGCTCTGTGGAGCTGCAGGCAATAGTGAACTACAGCCTGATGTCCTCGAGGAAGATGCATCCTATTTATATATAAATCCTATTTTCATCTTTCTTTCACTTGAAAGTTCTCAGTCCTTATGGATTTCATGCTATAGCCTCCTGCGTCATGGCCTGATTACTGAGGGCATCACTTTTATCTCATAATGAGCACCAAACTGCTGAGCTGTGCTTTCTTCATATCAGCCAGTGCACTCTCTCTCACCACTTGTTGCCAGTTCAGTTGTATCTTTAAGTACAAAGATACAACTTCACAGTAACATCGACTGAAGCTTTGAAAATGAGTTAAAGGAGGTTTCGAGAAGGAAAAAGAAAGAAAACAAGACTACCAAAAGTTCACTCAACCGTTTTAAGCTACAAATAGCATTGACATTACGTGGTGTTCCTGTCGGCAGCATATTCGACCCTCAGTAAAAAGCTAAACTGGATTACCAGATCTCCGTGGCCCCTAGAGGCGGCAGCTCGCTAACGGCTTTACTCTTTCTAATTGTATAGTTTGTTAGGTATATCCACCACTAAAGCGCAACATCAACTCACATGATAAGGCATTTTGATGGTAAAATAACATTTAGATCGGTCGCTATACCCAGAATGATCAGCAACTGAATTGTGGGACTGACTACTTTGACCCCAACATCACATCAAATATATTACAACAGTAGTTTTCTTTTGACTAAAGCTCTGCATATCAACCCGAAATAAACATGTTTCACTGTTTGGAACATAGTTGCTAACAGGGTAAATATGATGTAACATATTTTATAATTATTCTAAATGTTATAATGAAGATTAATTTGTGTACTGTTACACACATTACATACTTCTACACACTCCAATATTTCTGTCAGTTCATACTGGGGGGAAAAGGAAATGTAACATGGTTTATTTTAAATATCAGTTTTTCCATTGAGTGGAAGCATGTCACGTGAGGTTCAGGGTGGAGGTGGTACAGCGCCAGTCCAGCTGTGCGCACAGAGCGGGAGGTACTTCCTGTTGTCTCGGTGCGGACCAGCCAATCGGCGTGCGCGTCAACATCACATACCGGAAGTAGGAAGCTCAAACCGAAAAGAGCGCCTTGAATCAAAAGTGGAAACGTTACCTGAAGGTAAGCCTCTTCGTACTTCTGCTTACGGTGTATAAGCCACGTAAGCTAGACATGTTATGTTGATATGGCGGGTTGTTTCGCACACGAAGCAGCGTTAGATTACTGTAACAAATAATGTTAGCTTGTTGTTGAAAATGTTACATATCCTCTTAGTAAGCGATACTCTCCTTTCGACAAAAAAGTGGTGTCGACGTTAGATAAAATCACGTTTGATCCTTTTATGTCTCAGCTGTAGTATGAAAGGGCTGAGTTTGACAAATAAAATAAATATTTCAGCAAACTGTAGTAACTTGAAACTTTGGCTCAGTTACGTAGCCCTGCGTTTTATGCGACTATTTTATATCTCGGGATATACCATAACTCATGTCAGGAACATGTGTTAACACGTCACCACACACCTGGATGTACTCGATATAAACTTGATAAGCCCTTGATCGATCTTCTCACCTGGATTTCAACTGTTGCTTTTCCATCTTATTAAGAAGTTCAGCCTCTGACTGAGACATTTAAAGCTGTTTTTATGAATATATGTGGACCTGACCATTCATTTGAGAGTGGTAGGGACATTGCAACTGGGTCATAATTAGCGCTGTTAAATCACATAATACTTCATCAATTTAAAATAAATATCAATCAAAATAGGATCTGACGTTGCTAATTCATGCTTAGCTTTATAGCTACAGTAGGTAACACCGCAGTGTCCCCCCAAGGTCCATTTCGTAGCTGTATGTTTCGATCATATCAAACTATCTTCCTCAGCTGATGGAGTTTGCCTCATCGTCGTGAAATTGTAAATGTGGACATTTCTATTTTTCTGAGCACTTTTAGTTTCAGTTTCAACAGCTATTAACAGATGATCGGTCCAGTTACTACACATCTGACTGCATCGATTCTTATTAGTAGATATTTCTTGTAGTGGAGCCAAGTTTGCAAAATGTATTTTAGTTGTGTCAGCTTAAAACACACTGCGTGTTGACATCAGATGGCCCTACATCAGCCTACCATGAACTGTGTCACTTTAAACTCTGTCTTATCTAACCACGCTATAACATTGAAACAAGTTGAACAAAAGCTGGCTAGTTGCATTGAGGTGCACACAGAGGTGTTGGAGCAGGCTTCATGATAAACTGCAGAGGTGCATTGTTGGATGGTGCTGTAGTTGAGCTCATCATCCAGTCACAGTGAGGCTCACCATGTGAGGCTCCCTCTGTGGGAGAGCTGTACCCTGGTTAGCATTGATCAGGCCCTCTTGTTTACAGCGCTGGGCTCCTTGGGGACAGTACTCGGGTTAATTGCTGCTGAAGCGCTGCTCTCTGCCCACTGCTCGCTCTGCTAATACAAAGCAGATGACACTAATGAGTGAGTGCAGGGGGGCCACTGCTTTCCATGGCTGGAGGTCAGCTGGTTAAGGGACAGACCAGTGTTTGAGAGAGATTGACATTTATTTTGCAGCAATAGGGACCAGCCAGTAACATTGTTTGTGACTATAATGTTATGTACGTGAATGTTACCAGATCTTTAAATTGCTATCCAATAGTCCAAACATTTGGATGTATTCAATCATTTAGTAAATTCTCACATTTGAGGAGCTGCAGCCTGCCAGTAGTTTATATTAGATTAATAACTCATGTGATTAATTATTTCAATTTGACCAGTTTTCAGACCAATTCTTTCACTTCTAATCAAGTCATCAGTTTTCCTTTACTTTGTTAGTTCACCTTAAATTAAAAATAGGGTAACAGGCAGGTAATAATTGTCTCTGGCTCGGTCAGCTAGTGTTCAGTGCCCTGCAGGGGCAACATTAGCAACAAAATGACTTTATAAGTGATATGTTCATATCTCAGAGTTACTGGCTAATTAGGAGGCGGTTCTCATTTAGTTATTAACAACGGATAAACAGATTGTATATCTGACACGTAGTGGATTGTAGTGGTTTCACAGAATAGTCAACTTGGCAGCTATCAAAAGCCCTCGTTGTAATTGAAACTGAACCTCTGTGGTTTGGAGTTTTAGATATCACACCTCCGGTTTACTGATTGCTTTCCTGCTCTAGTTGAGCTGTGTTAAGGTGCTGTTGATGCACACTAAACTTTTCCTACTGCTGCTTCAAATAAAAAGCTTTCTAATATCTAACCTTTTATTGTGAAGCAGTATGATAGCTACTTCACATAAACTACTGAGATAGTATAGGATACTGTACATTTCATACAGTAACCTCTTATCAAATAGCAATAAAGACAAAGATATAGGCTACTCATTTGCATGAAAACTTTATAACAGTAAATATCACACGACTGGTTGTGTTGCTTTGTTTGTAAGCTTCGGGCTTGGAGAGTGCGTCCATTGGTATATGGCTAGTGTTCTGTTTATCTGTCTGTGAACCTGGCCAGCTCTGATTTGTTGCTTGTGTCTCTGCAGTGTACTCCTGCTCACCGGGACCATGAGTTTCTCCCCTGGTCCGTCCGGGCCCCTCGGGGGCACCAGTATCCAGGAGCAGAGGGACCGCTGGGAGAGGAAACGTAGCCGAACAGCCAGAGAGTTGGTGCTGACAGAACAACACTACTGCCAACAGCTGGAGCTGGTCACTACTGTATGTACCAAACACGTACCACTCTCCATAACTATGAAGGAATGTAGTTGAGAACTCCAAATATACCATTTGAAGTATAGTACAACCAATGCTTGAACCTTGGTATTTCATACCAGCTTGGGTCCCATCCAGACTTCCTGTATTTGGAAGTTGTATTTGTTATTTTGTCCCGTCTTTCTCTCCTCTCCTGCTTTCCTCCTGTACACTTCCCTCTCCTGGCCTCCTCTCTCCTCATCTGTGCCTCCCTGAGCTCTCCTGTCCTCTTCAATCCTAATGTTCCATTCATGGCCCCTCTCTGTCTATAAAGGTAAACAATGACGTTGATTTAGGATTCATTATTTTATCCGTCTACGTATTATTCAAATAGGCACAGGGGCATGATGTCATAATAATGCTGCCTATCATTCATCAATTTAGCATTTGTGTGAATGGCTAGGATCATTTATAAGATAGCAATTAACAACGTTTGAGACTGATTTTAGAACATTTGAGCATACTTGTAGTAGTAGCAAGCCGATTGGCTGTAGCAGAGCGTAGTGGGCGGGCTCGTGTGTACGGTTGGACCATTACTATGTTGTGGAGAATGAATCTGCAGAAGCAGCTATTGCAGAGATGTTGGCAGCGAAGGACAGCTGTCTAGTTCAGAAATATTTGAAGTAAATGAATAGCAGTGAGTCTCTGGGTTATTAAGTTAACAGGGACACTGTTTCAGAAAGAGAGTGGAAACAGCTGGAAGTGATCAGTTACAGTCATCAACTGCATATATGGACATTTCTGTAGAACTACGGTGATTCTGTTATCTGACTTTACTCCCATGATACTTTGCCTCGCCACAACCCGACTACTAAAGCCGCGATTGAAACAGCTATACTGTAATTAGAAACTCTCAATAAAATCCAGTAAATAGCAACGCTGTTTCTTTCATTACTTTATATTAATAAATGTACAAATGTCAATTAGATGGTAATCTGCATAATAAATTAAGACAGAAAAAATGTTCATAATAATTGTTCGCTTATCGTGATCTATTTGACACGACAGACATTATAAGATGTTTTCACTGTGAAAAATAAATTGCACTGTATTGGGGTGGAGGCATACATCTCAGATGGATCTCAAAACCAGAACACACAAACCCAAAACTATCTGCCTTGCGACATACCAACACAGGGAAGAAAATATAAATGTCCTCATAGATTTGGTGTATACTACTGTACATAAAATATGCAGTGAAAAAAGACAGTCTCCATGTCAAACATTCTCAGAAGCAACATTTCTAACATGGAGACAACACTGTAGAGTATGTTCCACTGCTCCTCTAAAGCATGGTACTGTGGCGTACATATGACTCAAGGTAGCATTCATGGTGCTCCTCCTCCCCGCGGAGAGAACACACTTCTTCACCCACCACTGCAGCCTCATTTCTACGCAATTACTTACCCTCCACCCGTTCACTCCAATTAGGAGTCATTTTAGGCCTAATGCACATTCAATTTGCTAATCCCATTTTCACTTCAAATGACTTGAGACCGGCACAGCTGTCGCTTTATTGTGAGTGCCTCTATACTTGTCCTTGGTGTGAGCCATGCAGATATACAGTACCATGTTATGTTAACAGTCCGTCTGGACTGTAGGGAAAGAGACTGCTAACCTCTAAGTTTCTGTATATTGGTGTGACATTTGCTCTCTCTCATCAGTGAAAGCATGTCCTTATCATAAAGTATTTCATCATAAGCATATCCAATCAGAGACAAGCTCACTTCTAGCTTATTAATACACATGCTGAGAAATACCATGGTTGTGTCTCCCTCTGCTCTCTTGTTTGTCACAGTACTTTGTGGAGATCTTAAAGGCCAAAGGAACGCTGAAGCAGGACATTAGAGAAGGCATCTTCAGTTCAATTAAAGCCATTCATTCAGTAAACCAGTAAGTATCCTCTGAATAATTTACAGAATATCTACGGGGTATTGGGATGAGGATTGGTGGTCTGTCACTTGCTTAAGAATACGGTCTAGATAAACTCTACCAAAGCATAGCCCTTATCTTCACCATTAACAGGAGTCAATGATGTTGTGTTGGTGGATACAATAATGCATATTGGCTTTAATTACTCCCAGCGATATCATAAGTGAAGGGCATTATTGTGACCATAAAAAGTCCTGACTGCTTGTTGCCTAGCTGAGCTGCTGCTGAAGGTCTCAGAGGGCAGCGTGGCCAGATGGAGGTCAGAGATGGTGGGAGCTGATCTCACCACCGTGGCTGGCCTCACATTGATCTTACTGTCACGGCACTGTGAAACTAAAATCTCCAAGCTCTACTTGAAAGACTTCAAAAAGTTTGCCTATATACATAATTGCTAGCTGTTTGAAGTTGGTACATGTGTACACGCTAAGGCACTGGACTCCGCTACGGTAACCTGTAGAAAAACAAGGCTCATAATGGATTTTTGAAAGTTGATATCAAAACTGATATTTTTTGTTTCATGGTGGTAAGATTGAAGCATTGGTCCTTTCTCAGATAAGATTCAGTATCTTCACTGGATTTGAGTGTTGCTCATTCAGAAACAGCCTCTGAAGTGTTTCTACCAACGCTTAAGGGGCTGTTGCATTTATTCACCTACAAATGAACTGTACACACTGCACTGCTATGTTTACAGCTACAGTATAAAGCTAATTCAAACTCACTGTTTGAAGTCACAAACACTAAATACCACAAAACATTAGTAGTTATATAATTAATGTCAAATGTATGACGTGTATATACAGCAACGTATCCTCACACAACTGTTTGTATGATATTCTCCGAAAAGTTACTCCATTTTTCTCATATGAAAGACAGCAACATGTGTTGATATCTGCTCGTCACATGAATACAATCTTTTTCAAAATAAATTTCCATCTTCACAGGAAACTCAGTTGGGGTTAGACAACAAAACTACTCAATTAGGTTCAGGACAAGATCGTTGTTTGGGTTCAAATAACCACAGAAGTGCCCTCACTGAAGTACGCAAGTTATGTGACAAAAGCATCAATGTTCAAACAAACCTCGCTGTTTGGTGAACCCATCCACCGCTACTCCCGCCTGCCCTGTGTGTGTTATTAAGCGGTCTTTATAGGTCCTCATTCTAGATTACATACTAAACATTTTGTAGGATATCTACAAACTATGGTACATCATTTTTCGTAGATATAGCTACGAGAATTGGTCGAGACCAGCCTGACATGTGTTACCCGCATCTTTGTATGTCTCCTTCAAAATGTCCCAACCCCCTGATGGTGTGTGATTCTTTAAATTAGGACTCACAGCGAACATCTTATCTATTTGGTGCTTTTGACTGGAAACCCCCAGTACATTGGCATTTGAAATTATTATTTTAAAAACACTAATTACAGAACATAAAACAAATATATGAAGTTAATAGGCCAAAATCGATTGACAAAGTCAAGAAAAATTCAATTGACAGAATAAATCTCCTTTGAGATATGACAAAAAGTATACCTCCCTCACTAACAAAAGAAAACAATAGTATACCTCTGGGTCTGCAGGGACCCCACTTGGTAGGATGAGAAGAGTTTGCTGCACTTGCAGGGCCCATAACTTAAATCTAAACTATACCACATTTTAGTTCTAAAAACATCATCCCAGATAAATTGTCCCGACGGGAGGTCAACTTAAACCCTGTTACAGCATCTGCGTACCTGTATGATAGAAAGAGGAACGTCTGTTCTGACAGTATTGACCATCATACCTTCGGTATTTCTAAATACCGTTGTATACCATAATGCCACGATACCGCCCAAGCCTCCTGCACAGCTTGACAAAGTGCAGAGTGCGTAGTTTGATCGGGAGTTCCATTTCCTCACTAAATAATGAGTGGTGTGGCTTCTCCTCAGGCTCTCATCCTCCGCACACTGTTGAGAGTGCTACAATGAAGATTGAAGTATGAATTACACAGTCTGATGTATTGAATAAATGGTTCCGCAGTTCCCATACATCTTCATTATGAGCCCCTTATTGAATCAATGGTTGAAACATAATGGAAAGCCCTCCGTTTAAGAAATGGTCCTTGGAGAGACGGTGTGTTAGTGCTAGACTGATCCACCACTGCTCCGTGATTGATTATAGATTTCCCCATATTCTTTTTGCTTTTTTTCACTCTGACATTTGGTATACAGTGAATGTGTGTGTGACAGTGCCAAGGCTAACTGATAATAACAGTGAGGATGATTCGCTGTCATTGATGGATGTGTGGGTGACTTTCTCCATCTGACACACATGAAACATCAAGTACTACATACTGTAAGTCTGAAAGCATTAAACAGGCAAGCTATAACCAAGGGGCATGTTGTAACGGCCTTGCTGCTGCGTCTATCAGCAAGTGCACTGTCTCGGTCAAAATGAGGTCTGGGTACCAAACCTACCAAAACACATTCTTCTAGTAGTGGCCCAGATGTGTCCATAACAGTATCAAATATCTGGTCAGATTCACAGTTGTCACACATTTTTTGATTAAATAATTGCCAATTTTAGCCTTTTTTATTCAGGCCAAGTTCGTGTAAGCCTGCTTGTGCTTAAACATTTAACATTTGAGAACTTTGGCATCTCTTCTTGAATATGAATCATACTGTCACTGGTACCCAGCCCTGAACCCACGAAACAAGATATATCACACGGGAGTGTTTTTGATAGAGCTAGGTTTGCAGCTTCCCACATTACTTAAAGCTATGGACGGTAGTCTTCTCGGTGGAAACTTATTTTTTATATTTGATGAGATTCTCATTACATCCCATCAGCAATCAATTAATCAAACGCTCTTAAAAAAAACCTTAGGACTATTATAAGATTGAAATGATTGGATGGGCTAACTGCCTGTTTACCTACCTCTTATGCCGTGTTCACACCAAACGCGGCGCGAATTGATCACGTCTGTCTCGCCGGGGACCATTTGTGTTCATTCGCGTGAATCGCGCTGGACGCGCGGCTTATCGCCCTGAAAGCCGTTCAACTGTCCGCCATTAACCATGGAAAAAATAACCTCTATATCTGCTTAGTACGTGTTGTGGAAGTCACAGATATCACGGGACACTAAACACTGTCATGTCTGGTTCATAACATTGTCCAGAGGAGCTCCGTGGTTTTCATCGAGCTATATTCACTGTGTCTAGCAAGCCACACGTCGCTGTTTACTACAGCTGTATGAACACTAAACAAACTGATCTGGCTGTGATTTAACAGCAATAAACCGACAAAAGGGACTCGGAAATAACTACGTAATGATACAGATTCGTCTGAATTCATATTTTGTTTGTTCTCTCCGCAAGACGACAAGCAAATAACTTTTAAAATACTTGTTTTCTAAATGGAGCTCGGATCGATCGGTGCTATGCTAAGCTAACATTGTAGCAGCTCCATCAACACTAAAAATAACGTCATCTAGACAGAAATACAGCAGCGTCTTTTTCATTGTTTGTACCATATGGTTTACACACACATTTATACACATAGTTTGGTCCGGTCTCTATTGATATGAGCTATTGTAGAGCTCTGGGTGAACACAGACGGCTACAGGATTTATTTCCTGATTCAACAACGGCAGTCAGTGATGACAGGGGGAGCAACTCAACGCTGATCGGCTATCGCTCCGCAGCGTCACGCCATTTTTTCGCAGAAGTTGAACAATTTCAACTCACACGTTTTGCCGTTTGGCGCAACTTCGCCCGACTTTGCCCGAATTCGCGCAGCACCAAACGCGCCGTGCCATCGCAAATTCGCGTCACTCCAGTCTCATCGCGTCTGTGCATACGCTTTGTATGTAATCTACTCCTGCGAATAATTCGCGCCGCGTTTGGTGTGAACGCACCATTAGCCTGCCTAGTTGTGCGCATTCTGCCCGTGCACTCATTGCACATCACCGAGGTCTTCCACAAGCTGCTAGCTCGGCAAGTATGAGTACTAACAGTAGCCATGTTTGTCATTTACGTCTAGATTTAGCGTCTTTTGGAGCTAGCGCTGCTAGGTACTTTCATTGGAAAAGAGTTGGCAACACTGGGCTGGGATTTTCAGTTGGGTAATTTTTAAAATCTAACATTCACACACAGGAGCAATTTGGGTTTAAGTTTCATGCCCAAGGACACATCAACATGTTACTAGCGGAGCCGGGGATCGAACCACCGATCTTTTGATTGATTCATTATATGGCTCATGTTAGCCATATAATGGAAAGGGAGGAGCATAGACTATAAAAGAAGTGGACGTAGTCATCGTGACGTCACCCATTAGTTCGTGGACTGCCGTTATGAGTTCGCCGTCGCCATGTTGTTTTTCTTGCATCCAATGAACAGAAGTTACCATATTTGGAATGAGAAGGAGTGACGTAGAGATGCCGTATATGGCTCCGGTATCTACCTGTCAATCAGTGTCGCCCCGCCCTAAAGCATCCCCTGCTTTATGGTTTGACTCTAAATGGACCATAATGTACTAAATGAACATCATGCTGTATTGAAGAAGACTTGAAACTAGAGATTGAGACCATAAACTCATGTTTACAATGTTTACTGAGGTAATAAATCAAGAGAGAAGTAGAGTCATTTTCTCATAGACTTCTATACAACCAGAGGAGTCGCCCCCTGGTGGTCACTAGAGAGAATGCAGCTTTAAGACACTTCCTCATTGGCATCACTCAGCAGAACTGGAGGTTGCCGCCTGGAGCGAGGGCTATTCAGTTGATTGCAATCTGCAACCTCACTGCTAGATGTCACTAAATCCTACACCATGTCAACATTCCTGGACTTGGACATAGAATGACATCCTCAGTTGAACTACAGTTAAGGGAAAAAGTCTTCTATGATCTATTACATCATAGAAATGTGTTTATAAAGTCACATATACTGTTCTGCTAATTGTCAGCTAATCAGCTGCTCGCTGTTGTAAAGCAAATCAAAACACTAAGATATAGAAAGGAGTCAATATGAAGCAGCACACGTATAGAAAGCAAAAGCTCACATTTGATTCCAGTTGGATGCTGGATGTTGTGTAGATCTGAAGAATCCCAGCCTTGCTAGTGAATCTGCATCCTCATCAGAGGAACACTAAGAGAAATATATTCATAAGAAGATTTTTTTTACAGCTGGGCACTGATTCATTAGATGAGTTGTTGATCCTCACAATGCAGCAAGAAAGCACTTGAATGGCAGAAAGCTTCGGCGTCAGATCTGTGTGGCCTAATGGCTCTCTGATAATAAATACAAGTGTGTGCAGAGCGGAGGTATATCCATCGTTATTTACTTAACTCCAGAGTACAGCGGGAATAGAGCTGTAGCAACCAGTTCTGCCTTCATTAAGCTTTGTCGAGTTACATAAGGAAAAGGAGATGTGAATATATTGATGCGCCATGCCAGTCATTCTGCTTCTGACTGTTTATGGAGAACAGGGAGCAGGCAGCAGGAGGAGCAACCCAATTATCCCTCAGCTGCTAACATGACAAACAGGAACCGGTGGATCCAGTGAGGAGCGAACAGTCGCTGGATTTGAAAGTGTGTGTGTGTGGGGGGGGGGGGGGGGG